TCATTCGTTGCTAGCATTTTCTCAATATGATAATATCTGCAAATCAAGGAAAGCTTAAGTGATTTTATGCTATATCTTATGTTTTTGGCATCTTGCCATGTCTAGTGAGAGATTATCATCGAAAATAATTCATGATGTTTTGCAATATTACGTTTTTACTGAAAATGATGATGAAAAATGATAATATCCGCTGGTGGTCGGAAAATATCATACTTGAGATACGCCGATGATACTACCCTCTTGGCGTCAACCAGAGACGAAATCGAGGTGCTTCTTCGCCGGCTGGAGACCACAGCGTTGGATTTTGGACTTGCGATCAATCGTGATAAGACCAAAATGATGATCGTAGATCGTGCTAACATCAACCAACCGGAAGTCCAACATATAGCGGAATGCGAGGTAGTTAATAGCTATGTATATCTAGGCTCCACTATCACCAACGCTGGAGGCTGCGAAGATGAGATCCGAAGACTTTGCGCCGTAACAAGATCCTCAGTTGAGAGGCTAACAAAGATTTGGAGAGACCGCAGAATAACCAAAAACATAAAAGTTCGGTTAATGAGATGCCTGGTCTTTCCAATCTTTCTGTATGGGGCTGAGACGTGGACGCTGAGGATGCAAGACCGTCGTAAGATTGACGCACAGGAAATGTGGTGTTAGATTCGTCTCCTCAGAATTCCGTGGACTGCGCACCGTACCAACATTTCGATCCTGAAAGAGCTCAACATCAAGGAGAGACTATCGTCAGCAGTCCAAATACGCATCCTCAAGTTCTTCGGGCACATGACTCGTAATGAGGACTCCATTGAGCGGTTGGTGGTGCAAGGGAAAGTCGAGGGCAAAAGATCTCGCGGACGATCTCCAACACGATGGACTGATCTCATAACATCTGTGACTCACTCCAACATAAATGATTGCTCTCACTCTGCGAAACATCGTGCCACACGGCGTCGCATCGCGAGAGCATCGGTATTGCAGGACCCGACTGATGCATGACCACGACCACTCTGTCAAGAGTGTATAAATAGGAAGAAGAACTTAAAATGAAGGTTTGTTTATGTTGACAATTTCCAGATCAATGTCAACCTAACCTCGGATCTCAAGTATCTCTAATTAGCCATCAATATGTCCTCCCTCCACCCACAAGACGCCTGTCACCTGCAAACTTTATTATATTGTGTGAAATTGATACTTTCTATCTAATGACGTACAAAGCATTTTCTCAATTAGAAAGAAGATAATACAATATGTGCACAACACATTTATACAAGCTAGCTAGCTACCTTAGAAAAAAAACCGTGCGTAGGTGTCCAAGCACTCTTGAAGGCTTTAGTTTCTTCAATAATTCAGTACTCTGGTAGCTTTCTGCCGTGACGAACGCTTATCTGGTCGGATAAATAAGCTTTGTAGTCGTATAGTATTCTGTGAACTTGACGTGTGGCTGATTACTGCGCGTCGCGTCGTATTGTGTTTACCTGCGCTTTTCTAGTTAAGGTGATGTATTTTATAAATCAACCCAATGTTTTTTTTGTTGTTGTTATAAATTTGTATAATAATTGTCAGTTTTTCTTAGGAGGTCGTTGTGTATGGTGATTAGTTTAATAATATTCCTATTGCTACAAAGGAAATTGAAAACGCATTGTCGGAAATGAGAGTCGGGTGCATCCGGTATTGTGTGGGTCGCTTTAGGATTTTGCACAAAATAAATAGCATTGATTTCTCTGTTAATATTAATTCAATACTAAAGTTCTGCTGGCGTTTAATTGTTTCGAATAATAATTTACTCGAAAATATGAGCTCCGACAGTGGGTTAGTGGAATCTGGCTTTTTAAATACTATAGGGGCGGACCCCTATTGTAATCTATACATATAAATAAAATTGGAGTGTCTGTTTGTAATATTGAATTAATCGCTTTTTACTACATGCAGATACGGTACATATACCAAAATAACATTTTTTACAATTTTTGTGTCTGTCTGTCTGTTTGTTCCGGATAATCTCTGGAACGGCTGTACCGATTTTGATGGGACTTTCACTGACAGGTAGCTAATGATATAAGGAGTAACTTAGGTTACTTTTTTAGACTAGCTTCGTCCCGCGGCGTCACCCGCGGTTATTGTTGTAACATCGCGGGACTCAACTATCAATAATAAAATTTAATGTTTCCGAAGCGAAGCGATGGCAGGTTGCTAGTTATAAATAAGAATAATCAAACGAATAGATCATTGAAAACCTAAATAACTAATGCGATATTAGTGGTTTTGAAGTTTTTGAATGGTTTTTGTTTTATAAATAACTAGCCGTACTCACCCGCTTCTGTGGGCATTTAAAGTTAACATTATTATTTATTGTCATTATTATTAGGGAGCCCAACACTCATATAAATATTAGCCTATCCATTAAGTACATGTATTTTCTACATGGATACCAAGTTTCAAGTCAATCGGTTGCATGGTTCAGTAGTTATAACGGAACATCCGTAAAAACCACTGTAGATTTATATATTAATTAAGTTTAGAAAGTATAGATACCGTCTCTTAGAATCACCACGTAAATAATGAAATACGTACTCAACAAATGTTCTCGATTGACTTCCACGGTGAAGGAATAACATCGTGTAATAAAAATCAAACCCGTAATTACGGGTAGTAGGACCTCTTGTGAGTCCGCCGGGGTAGGTACCACCACCCCGCCTATTTCTGCCGTGAAGCAGTAATGCGTTTCGGTTTGAAGGGTGGGGCAGACGTTGTAACTATACTTGAAACCTTAGAACTTATATTTCAAGGTGGGTGGCGCATTTACATCGTAAATGTCTATGGGCTCCAGTAACCACTCTTAACACCAGTTGGGCTGTGAGCTTGTCCACCCATCTAAGCAAAAAAAAAAAAACTAAATGCATAATGTGAAATATCGTGAAGTTAAGAAATTTAATCCTTTTGATAACATGTTTTCGCTTACGATGCACTGGCTTCATGTAGGTACCTTGCTTATATTGGAAATGCGCTGACAGATTCTAGGAACTCACCTAAGTTTTATACGTTGAAACGCGGATCATCATAAAATGTTTTGTTAGTTCGTTCTCAGATTTAATATCCCTCGAGTATCATATTCTTATTATTCAAAGGTTGCATTTATATCTATACAGGTATACGATTCTTGGATCTTGATTTTTATTTTATGAAATTATGAAGAAGCTCTGCAATTTAATGCTTGAATACTCAATAAGATATCGTACTCATTAGTGGACGATCGACAATAGACTTTTAATTGGACTAAAAACGACTCAGAATTTGTCATATAAAAATTTTCTTCAGTAATAAATTAAGAAAAGAAAATAGGAACTAGTCACATCGCAAAATTCAGATGTAAGAAATCTACACAAGTTTTTAAACTAGTTTTCAGGCAGGTTATATATATCCTATAGATATTTATCTTTTTCGTGTCGCTTTTCAAGTGTAAATTTCGTTTCATCGTATTTTAAATCACAACGGAAAATTTTGAGTCAACTTCCTTAATTGAAAAGCATGACACGTGACATTCCCTTTCGAGAATCTAAATTCGTATCGTCTTTAACGCAAGATAAAGAATTCGTGTCTCTTAATGAAAATCAACCCATAGACGAGTAACTTCTCATTATAGAAACAATTTCTATAATTAAGTTACCGTTTGTAGGATCCAAACTTTCATTTGCACTGACAACCATCCAGACAACCAATGCATTCTTAGAACCTAACAAATAGAGAATGAAGACCGACGTATCGACAAAATGCTTATCTTTACGTTTCTATTCAGAGCTAACTCAATTCAAAGTGTAGATCTTTTCATTGTTTTTCATTGTTTCGTAACGACGAAGCGTTTTAATTAGCGTTAAGATAAATGCAGAATTATGTATTTCGAATATAAACGATAACACAGTTTCAGTAAAATAGGCCATACATTCCATAGAAAATATATCGCCCTAGAATTATATTTGTTTTTCCTGGGATACATGAGACAATAATTCGTTGCACTTCTATACGCAATTTTTTATTGTTTTCAAATTTTCTACTACTTTTTATTATTTTCTATTGTATTTCTAGCATATATCTTTATAGTATATTTATGATGGGACTTACAGTAATACCGTGCATGAGATTAGGATTCCTTTGTTTGAGTGTTGCATTGAAGTTTTGATATGTATAGACTCCGGTAACCGTACAACTATAGGTAGGCTGTGAGCTCATGCCGGATCTTCTCAGTGGGTCGCGTTTCCTATCCGGTGGTAGATTCTGCGAAGCACTGCTCTTGCTAGAGTCAGTGTTAGCAACCCCGGTTGAGCCCCGCGAGCTCACCTACAAACGTTAGGGTGAAGCTGAAATAGCCTCTCAAGGCTATCAGCATAGGTAGGGAAAAAAAAGTGAGCTCTTAAAATTAAATTGCATCGAATAAATGTGAAATAAGAATGAACTCAATAATTACCTATTAAGATATTAAGTTGCAATATAAGTCTTTGGTAGCAGAATCCCTAAGGAAAATTACTTTTTTAACTGTGCATTATAATGTGACATTGTTTAATTGACAATTGACTGATTAATGAATTGATTGACAATTATTATTGAGTCAATAATCTCCGATGCGTTGGATATTTTGCAGTTTTCGTGATCATTCACGATCAGAATTTACTTGAGCATGGGCGTAGTGTTATAAAAGGAAATTCCTGTTTTTAGTATTTCGTGAACATAGTTGTTCTTCTTATCAAATTTAGCTCGGTTTTTGTAGGAAGTGATTTACGGAAGGAAGTCGTACGTCAATTAAATAGGTATTAATTATCTTTTTTCTTTGCTGCCTGCGTGTTTTTTTAAACGATAATTTTTCATACGTATTCAAAAGCATCCGGACTTGCTCGTAAAATATTCAAATAATTGTACAATTTGAGATTACTATTCCCCGATTACAAAGCAAAAGTCGTTCTTAACTCAATCTTGTTCCTATTATCTATGTGTTTTGTGATATTTTTCAGATTCGAACATGGGACAAAATTCAAGCTATAATGAAGTCTGAAGAGGGCCTCGGTATCGAGTACGACGAGAATGTAATTTGTGACGTGTGCCGATCGCCGGACTCTGAAGATGGAAATGAAATGGTGTTCTGCGACTCTTGTAATATTTGCGTTCACCAGGCTTGTTATGGCATAACTGTTATCCCCGACGGTAAGTACGAAGAGGCTACGAACTGTCAGTCAACCGACTGTCGCATCATCCGTGCTGCCCACTAACAACAACACGAGGAGATCGGTATGATTGGACCGTAACTGTTCGATGTTCATAGCATTTGTGTCTTAAATTAGAACACACTGGCTGGGCTTACCACCGTTTTGAATCACATGAATGTAACTTCTATTACGAATATAATACACCTTTTAAGAACAATGTAATGGTTTCTTGTTAGTAAATAATAAAGAAAAACTTTTTACAGGCACAAATAATAAACAAAATTTATTTAATAAAAAAAAAACAGTAAATAGCTTTAACTTCACTGCCCTTTGCTTTTTCGTGTTGATTAAATCTGCTCTTTTGAGTAGTTTCACTGTTGTGACAATTCACTTATACTTAATTACTTGGAACGGTCAAAATTCAAAGCATCGAATGTAAATTCACGTTACACATACGTAACGATATAGTACATATTGTTTTCGCAATTATAATTGAAAATAATATTGCTGTGTTGGTCTCGTGTGGTCTGTATTAACCAGTGTGACTGAGGTGTGAGTATATGTATTTGCAAAAAATTTGTGATGCTTAATTCTTGAATTCATTCAATATTTTGAACAATTAAAGTTTCACTTACTCAATCTACCTACGCGCTCCTGTTGTTATTTCCTTGAAATGTGGCTTTTCATGTTGTGTATATATATATTTATGAATGAAACTTGGATGATTTTTAATCAAACCAAGTTTTAATTCATTTTACCGGATAATATGTTTAATTAAGGCAAATAATTTACATTAATGTAGTTATCGGTAAATGGTAAAGGTTAAGGTAATGGTAAATGGTTAAGAAAATGTGTCAAATTTTTCATTCATAAATCATTTAAATAGACACGGTTTGCAACTTACGGATTTTTCATTTAATAAATAGGATTATTTATTTAGTTAAATTAACTTGAAAATGGTGGGAAGAAGATTATTTTATTATTTTCGCGTTTTACCACCTGCAAAGAAAGTATAATTTTTTTCTCACCTTTAAATTGATTTTTTTTAATGACTTCTTATTAGTAAATAATTTTGTAAAAAATTACATCATCCCCCAATTTGCATCACCTTAAAATTGTATGTCTCCAAACGTTCCTTTGGTTTTAGTATACCATAATATGCGAAATGAAATCAGCAAAAAAATAATAATGATATATATTATATTTATACGAGATATTCATTATTTCCTTTAAGTCTCAGAATCATTTAAAAACACTTGGTGTTTATTTCATTTATTTATATTCTTACTCATTTCGATTAGTTTGAACAGTTAGAAGAATTGCAGTGACACATTTTACAATAGTAAAATTAAAATCATGAGTATCCATTAGCTTGAAACTTAACTTTAATATTCTATCACATTTATATTTATTTAAAATGTAAAATAAAATAACATATTAATATTCTACCTCATTAAGGGTAACTCAAAAACTGTGCGTGTTTACGCAATTACGTAAATAAAATAGTGAGTTCCAAATTATTAGGAGAGTTATGTAGAAGATATTTAACAGGTACTTATTTAAGCTAAATTGCTGTGTTTCAGGTCAGTGGCTGTGTCGACCGTGCGGCGACGGTGTAAGACCTGTCTGTGTTCTGTGCCCTAACCTCGGTGGTGCCATGAAATGTACTCCACTCGGGCGGAAGTGGGCACACGTCAGCTGCGTCTTATGGATTCCAGAGGTGTCTATCGGTTGTGCTGAAAAAATGGAACCTATTACAAAAATATCTGCTATACCCGCGTCCCGATGGTCGCTCGTATGTGTTCTTTGCCGCGAACGTAAAGGGGCTTGTATTCAATGTTCTGTTAAAACTTGCAAAACAGCTTATCATGTTACTTGTGCGTTTAAACATGGTTTAGAAATGCGTGCGATAATTGAGGATGAAAATGCCGACGACGGCGTAAAGTTACGATCTTATTGTCAGAGGCATAGTGTTAATTCGAAAAAAGAAAAATGTCCAGGTTCAGGTTCAGAAGAGGAGGAGGTTAAAAGGAAACGCCGTAAAGATATGACTTCAGAGGAAAAAACTCAAGCTCGTGCCGCGCGATTGCAGGAGATAGAGCGGGAGTTTGACAAACACGTGAACGTAAAAGATATCAGTACGCATTTATTAGATGTTGATCAGGATGCTATTCATTATATTTACAACTACTGGAAATTAAAAAGGCGGGCGGGTCACAACCGTCCCCTTTTGCCACCTAAATCTGATGATAGTGAGCTCCTTACTCATAGACAGGAACAAGCCGACCTCGATAAAATGAAAATGTTTGTCCAGCTCAGGCAAGATCTTGAAAGGGTTCGTAATTTATGTTACATGGTTAGTAGGCGAGAAAAATTGTCTCGATCGTTTTTTCGTATGAGAGAACAAACATTTCATAAACAAATCTCACTTTTATCTTCTGGAACTGCTATTCCAGACCATGAATTGACAGCTATAATAGAAGCAAATCACGGTCCTTCAATATATGATCGACTTTATTCTCATCCCAATGCCCCTGATCATAAAAATGACTTTGACGAATTAATGGCGCGAATAGCTCCGCCTGAGTCGGGTGACGAGAAAAAAAAAGATCGCAATGGATTAGTTCGAAGTTCGAGAGCGGCAAATCCCTACAAGAAACACTATGTTAATGGATCGCGTCGAAGTGGTAGTATGTACAGTGGTCTCTCTAGTGAAGAAAGTGCACCAGAAACGAATAGAAGACATCGCGGCAGGACTGGTTCAAGTACTGATGAGGACGAAAAAAAACCTACTACTTCGCCAAAAAAAAAGATCTCTGCAAAATCGAAGAGTAAGAGATCTCCAAAAAAGCCTGAGAGAAAGAAGAAAAAAGTACCACAATCTAAAGCTTTTGTTGAAAGCAGCAGTGAGGATGAAACTATAGTAAAAACAAGTAAAATAAAAAAGGACAGAACTCGTAGTAAGACCCTACAACAAATGGAAAAGGAAATGACTGCAGGAAAGGTGGGACAGTCTGGTACTGACAGTGAAGATTTGATGCCAATGAGAACTACAAGAAACAATAAGTTTCCTTTAGATATCTATTCCGATAGTAGCGAGGATTTGGCACGTAACAAATCAGATTTCAAAGTTGCAGACAAAGTAAAGCTTGAAAAGTCTAGAAACGATAAAATAAAGACTGAGAAATCTCCCATTGTCAATGATTCACAACAATCACTTCCTCGAACTAAAGCAGCTATGAAGGAGTTTGTTCCTTCACAGTCTGAAAAAAAACTTAATGCAATTGAAGATGAAAAACCTGCCCCTAAAAAACGAGGCAGAAAACCATCAAATAAAAACGAGAAGGATAAAAAAAACATCCCTAAACTTGAAGTGGATAGTCAAGTAAAAAATAGATTAAGTGTTAAGTATCTAAAGAAAAAGCACAATCCAACTGATTTGATAGTTCCCCAAAGACAAGCAGCAAAAAAAGCTTCAGAAAATATGCGTTCAACTGCTGCCGTTAAAAAAGAAGAACTACCACCGGAAAAACTTACCGAAGACTCAAAAAGCAAAATTAAGTTTAAAGACAAAGCAAAAGATAAAGAGATTAAAGAAGTCCCAGGTAAAATCAATAGAAAGAAATCTAAGGATGCCGAGAAAGAAACAATAGCATATGTTCCTCAAAGACAAGCAGCAAAGAAAGCTGCAGCACATATCAAAGGAGGACTTGGTAACAAGCAACCACTTCTTGAATCAGATAATGATAAAAAGAAAGATTTTGCACGACCTGAAACATCCAAAATATCACCCAAGAAAGAGGAAATAAAAGTTATTAGAGTGCCACTAAAACAAAGTTCTAGTTCTTCTTCAAACTCTAGTAGCAGCAGTTGTTCATCGTCTTCGAGCTCGGAAGAAGAACAAGAGAAACATGAAATTAAACCAATCTCCAAAGCGCCAGAAATAAAACCTGCTATTAGAAAACCTTCTATGTTTTCACCTCAACCAACTACTAGACCGACAGTGGACTTGCCCTTTCTTGACAAGGTGTCCAAGCCGTTGTCTTCAACGAGTGCTTCGAGTGATACCGACAGTTCAAGGGACTACAACAGATCAGGATCTGAAAGTCCCACTCCAAGAAGACCAAGACGAAGAAGGAAGGGGAAAAGTATTTCAACTGATGCGTCCCCACGCAAGACCCTTGACAAGAAGCTTAAAACTTCCGAACGGGGGTTCGAGTGTAGGGTACCATCACCGTCTGTTGAAAGAGCGGAATCAATCCGAACCAACAACGCGCGTGCTGCCTCACGTGCTCGGACCAGAAGCATTACTGCAAGCGGAAATTTGTTTGATAAGCCTGATGCCGGATCTAGAAAACCATCCAAAGACGACCCAGAACCTACCCTTGGACCAGATAAATCTACGAAAGAGAGCAACCAGTCCTGTGAACTTCCGGCTTCGGAGTGGAAAGCGAACGAGGAAATAAAGCAAGAGATAAAAGTAGAAGTAACAAATTGTGATGAACCAGTCAAAAGCGAAGTTACAATAAAGCCTTTGACAAAAATGCAACCTACCTTAAGTGAAGAAAAAGTTGAACCACCTGAACCACAGCAAATGAATGAGGCTAGTCCTAAAAAGAATGCTGATTTAAAACAGAAATCTTTGACAAGTAGGCGTATGAGTGTAAAAGAACCAGTAACTGTTAAAGAGATTAAACTGCTGCCAGAAGAAATACGTCATCCCGTAACTAAAGAACGTAGAATGAGTAAACATGAAGTTAATGCCGTAGGAGAGCGTAGTCATTTGTCACCGATAAAAAAGCCTGTTTCTATTGAGAAGGTAGTTCAAATGTTGCCTGAAAAGAAAAGCCCAATTCCAATCAACGATGCATACACCGATAATGATAAAGATTGGTTACCAAAAGCACCCAGTCCAGTTGCGCTTCCAACGCCGGTTGAAAAACCCGGAGGACACGAAAAATATATGACCGAAGACAAGTCGCTAGACTCTGACTCTGCAGACAAAAGCAGTGTTAAAATGATTGCCAAAATCCAAGCGAATTTAAATGAAAACACTATGATAAAATCTCCAAAAACTCCTATGGATGCTAGGACAGCTACATTGGATTCATTAGATGTTGATCATGCTATGATAAGAAACATTAGAAAGCGTTCCATATTAGATCCGGAAAGAAAATTTATAGCTCAAGATGCTAGTCACGTCCAAGGAGTTGAGATATCGAAAAGTGCGAAGATTCCATCGGCCGTAAATCCTAATAGGTCAATGTTTTCGCCGCAACCAAAAGAAAATGACTTTGATTATGAAATGGTGGCAATTGATGATGGCTTTAATCACGATGATATTATGAAAAGATTCGGTACCTACCCCGAATTTTTATTTAAAGAAGATACAAAAGAACAAGGTGTACAGGAGACCCTTAATCTAGTTGACAGACTGAGAATGCAACTCATATCGAAGAAAAACACTGTCGAGGTTTCTGCACAAGGAGAACCGTTCATAGAAGCAAAAGATGAAAAGCCCGAAGACTTAAAAACTATTAAAAGAGATTACGATCAAGAACCGGTACAAGAGAAAGAAGAAGCATTAGATTTGCATAACGCTAGAGATCTTACAAAAGAAGCTTGTCACCCTGTGAATCATAAACCGCATCCTATACCACACACCGACTTGGCTAGGGATAACAGGGAACACAAGTATGACACAAAAGATTACGATCGTCCTATAGCAATGACTAGCGGTGATAAATGGTCAGCCGGTCCCGTTGCTATGACGATACCGCACGATCGTGATCCCGATCATGGTCATGATCGTGAATTACATGTTGTTCGAGGTAATGACCAAAAATATGATCATATACCTTATAACGATGAAATGAAAGAACCTCCGACGGTTCAATCGGACATACAATCCCTGTCCGAAACTGGTGACACAATATCTGTGTGTAAACATAGTGATGATTCCCAGTCGATTTCTGTTGTGGACCACTCTGTTAACAGCAACGATAATGACCTAACCCAGGACAATCAAAATTATGATAATAATAATTCTTTGATACATTCTGATTGCGCTACAATCTCATCGCCGTATGTAAGTCAGGATAAGTGGAGAGAAAGCAAGATTACCACCAGGCGATCTTCTGCTTCGAGCACTAATTCGGACGCATCCATTTGCTCTCAAAAAGCTGCTTTAAAATCACATTTGAGTGCATGTGAAATATCTGCTCGTCAAGTTACTATAATGCCTGAAATTGATTCATATCCGCCGGTCCCAGCCTATTCATGTACCGTGGAACCATCAATGCCCTTAAATCAGTATTCTGCTTACCCTCCGAATGCTTCACCTTATTTAGGTACATTATCGTTACCATTATTTGGGAATCCAGCCTCGCAGCTACCATTGCCTTCGCCCGGACCTCTTTATAGTGGATTGCCATATTCAACCACTCCTTTAATGCCTCCAAAACCTTCGTTTACAATGTGTGCAGCGTTTACATCCTCTTCTCAAAATATGGCTCTTACCACAGCAATGATAGCTTCACCTACACCAAAAGGTTCCGAATCACCACGTGATGAAATCGATGTTACGGGTAGTGACAAATTTACCATACATGTAGCGAGTAGTCCAAGTATCAGCGTTGATTCTTACGAAGCTAGCAATAAGGCTCCACCTACTAAAATGTCTAATGATAGTCATGACAGTATTGTAAGTATAAATCATGAATCAAAATCTCCATCAAAAACGAAACCAGTTACGAAGTTTCCTGGGAAGTCACCAGGGAAAAGTCCTGGATTTTCACCTAAACAAAGTGATACGTCAAAGGGAACTAAAAGATCGACTAACAGAAGTAATAGGAACCAACGTGGTCGAGGACGTTCTAAGAGTAGAGGTCATGCCTACCCCCCTGTTGATTATTCAGGAAACTCAATTCAAAGTAAATTAGTAGGAACAGTATATGACTTTCATGAAGAAATTGCCAATGATAGTGTTGATCTAAAAGCTTTACGAGAAAGACGAAAATCAGTAGATTTATGTAAATCCGTTGATGATAGGAAACCTGATCTATCTTATAAGGACGTGTCTCGGTCGCCTACCGCTGTATCTTCTTCGCCTACTACAAAAATGCCTAATATTAACGATACAAAAGAAATAAAACCTCCAACTTCTGAGCCTGACGAAAAACCTACTTCTCCTTCTGAGAACGATGCTTCTGAAGATGGTCCTGGCTTTTCACGCGTTCATGCGGTATTGCCAGGTCCAGTTGACATGAGAACGTACCAGTCCGTCGAGAAACCAGTTCCTGCTGCTGCAGACCAATGTCATTTGCTAGCTTTTGCGAGCGGCACAGCGGATCAGCATTTGCCTGAAATAGACGAAGAAGTGGAAAAAGAACTGCACTCAGCGTTAATGGCGAGCAAGCCTGGGGAACATTCACCGCCGCAACCTAATATCGCGCTTGAACACAATGTCGTACCCAAACAAATTTATACTCCTCAGCATCCGAAAGTTTCGCTTTCAGATTCGCGAAACCAATTGAAAGTAAAAATAAAAGGACCATTTTTGGATGCTAATTACGCAACAAGTCACAGTCAGCCCCAGGTTGCTCCCCCCACACCGGCGCCCGTACTCGATACCAGCACAAATGTTGTGAACACGATTGGAATATCGGCTTCCACTATGATGACTGGTTCGACGAATTTGAGACGTATGAGAAAGAAGGAACTATTGCGTCAATATTGGACGCAAGACATGAATATGGACGATCCGGCTGCTACATCTGCGATGACGTTACCACCGCCTGCCGTTCCATCGCCCCTCACGAGGGCTGTAATCACAATACCTAAAGCTGTTGCGTCGATGACCAGTATACCGACGCGAGAAGACTATAAAATTGCGGAAACACCCGCGGAAAAGAAAAAGCGAAAGGTCTCAAGTGGCCTTTCTCGCGAATTACGTCATTTGGAGGTGAGCATGAACGATGACGTTGATCCGTCAGACGATATTAAGTTGTCTTCTATGGCTAGTTCCTCCAATCAAGCGCACAAGAGAAGAGGACGTGCTACGACTAAGCCAAATAAAACTACAGCCTCACAGATCGCTCCGAAACTTAAAATCAAAATCGGTGCCAACATAGTGCAACAAGTTAACGACGAAACAACCGGCGACCAGTTTCGCCCTCCGAAAAAACGGTCGATACACAAAACTTGCTTAGAAGACATTCGACGGGAGAACATGAAGTTCCGTCGAAAGGTCATGGCCGATTTCGAAGAAACGGAAAAGGCCAAGAAATACAAGCCGAGCAAAAGTGAGAAACGTAAAAAGAAAAAGGACAAAAAATCGGAAAAACTTCAAGTGGTGAACAGTGAAAGTGAAAGTGCTACTAAATTAATAATAAAGATAAAGCGTAAAAAGGATGAGATTTCTAACGTGAACGCTTTGACCTTGGCGGGACCGAGCGGCGCCGTGTCGGTGGCGCCCGAACCGGGGCTCGATCCGTTCGGCTACGACCCGACCGCGCCAGACCCGCTCGCCATCGACACGCCCTCGTACATAGAGGCGAGCGCCGCCATGCGCAAAGTCCGCACCGCTAAGGTAACACCGATTCGATTAAAATTAGCGCGCAGCTCACAGGGCTCGGGCTACGTGATGAAGGAGGCTGTAGAGCCATCCGCCAATGAGCCCATGCCCGTTTCTATCAATAAACACTGTGAAGTGAGGTGATATAGAAAGCGCCGCCGCCGCCGCAGGTATTAAGTGGACTGCCTTTCGTGCCGATACCGGCGAACGTAAAATCTCGTGTACAGTTAAAAAATATTAACGTATAGTGTCTGTATATTTTAAAATTAATATTATCTTGTAATGATGTAGTTTACTATATTATTTATTTGTATAAATCGAAAGCTCAATGTCTAACTAAAAGTTATTCTAAGATTATTATAATAAATCTTGTGTGTTGTGCATTGAGGAATGCACAAATAAATAGAAAAAAAATAAAATATAATTAATTCATAATATATATTTTTGTTAATGTTACTGTTTTCTTTGTGCCTCATATTGAATCTCATTAATTTGTCTTTCGAAAACGTATGTATATATGGATGTTAAGTATGGAACGCTTCGCGCGTTACTTTTCGTTATCACAAAAAAAAAACCATGTCGACACATCTGCGTGGTGCGTGGTAATGAGGGCGCGGCGAGGTTGACTTCCGCTTTCATTCGATATCCTAATAATCTATCTAACAAATGATCCCTAACGGCCTACGTCAATAAACTATTTGGATATCTTATTTTTATACGATGTGTTGATTCACATTATTTTTAACAAAAAGGTACAAACTAAAACGCAACATATCAAATAACAACGAACACAGTATATTGTAAAGAAATAAAACAAATCTTATCATACATTTATAAAATTAGCTCAATGTTAGAATAAATTTATACAATTCTTTTTTATTAATAATTTTCAATGAAACATGTTGACATTTATTATTGTTTTTACAATTCATTTATTTGTATATTATTATTTTTACAATTCCTTTATTTGTATAGTAATTTTATTTGATTATCCCAATAATATATTTGACCCAATAGTAAGTATTAAATTAAAAAAAGCGAAGTCAACCTCTCTGACCTCTCATCAAATTATCATCACTCGGTATTCACCAAAGAAATTTAAATCAAAGTTACTTACTGATAAAGGGCATTAAAATAATTTGAGTATTTGACAGAAAAAAAAAACATCCGAACGATTATTATTGAAAATAGAATCCATGTTAGCCTGATACTTTTACTAACATGGTGTGAATACTAAGTGTCAAAAATGTATTAATGTAATTATTTATCGAAATTTGTATTATAATCGTTTCGACAGTACGGTTCAGTTCAGAGCGGTTAGTGTGTGATATTCGAGAACGCTGGACGTTTCCTGATTAATCTCATCGTGTTTGTTGTTCTAAACTTTGTGTACTGTCGACCTTTAGATAATAAAAATGTGAGTTTTCTTCACGACCAATACTGTAAAGAAATGCAATTAATATTTTCATGTTGTGAATGTCGTAAGCGGTGTGTTTCGCGAATAACCATAGAATATAGATAACTAGAGGCCTGACTGTTCTAATCGATGTTTCAATAGAAAAACCTAGGAATTTTAATAGTATTACGAAATAGCTGTGTGAACTTGATGTAAACAAACCATTTCATTGACAAAATAATCGAATAAAGAATTTACCGTCTTCTATCTGTAACAGTTTTAATGTAAAAATGAACCAATTTTAACAATTAAATAGCTTTAAATGAATAGTCGGTGTAAAGTAGAAAACATTACACAACATTAAAAAATATTAGACACTTTCTGTAGGCGGCGACCAAAACTGTCTTTTGTGTCTAAATAGTCGTATAAATTTATATTTATAAAGTCGAGCTTCGTGACATAAAAAGCACAGATGTTAAATTGTACAGTTCAATTATACTTAATGGGTTCGAAAACCCATTGTAATGTAAGATGTTGTTGTCATAAGCATTAATTGAATTTTAGGGCACTAAAATAAACGTAAGTATAAAATAATGAAATCGTTACATTAAAATTATAGTTATATTATATGTACGGATGTTAGAATATTGACTCGAATCTGTAATATCTCTGAATTTGAAGGCTTATTGTACATACGTAATTAATTATACTATGGTTTGTTTGCAAGAGTTGTAGCACTATTTCACAGTAGTATTAAAAGAAAGAAAATCAGAATAGTTTCAAAGTTGAAATGTAAATTGAATGTCGATGGTAATTTTAGAATTTAGACATAAAATCCTTTGTGAATTTGATTGTAAACGATAAGACTTCGCTAAAACTAACCGATAACGACGTTTGAATGTGAAAAATGACGTTGGATTTGTAAAAATAAAAACACATCGGAATTAGTAGTGACATAGCGGTTTTAATGAGATTTATTGTAATTTAACACTTACACAAAAAAATACATTAGTTTCTTCATCGCACTATTAAAAATGTTCATCACTACGCGGATCGTTAAATGAAAGTTATTTCACAAAAAAAATACATATGTTATAAATAATAAATGAAATAAACGATATAAGTATTAAGTCATGACTGATTCGGATGCTTGTTTGAATGTGATTGTGAATACAAAATGGTTTGTGCAATATTTGGCAATACTCATCGCGTAGTCATGGTTGTATGACCGTAGACGAGGTCTTAGTTATAAGTACATGTTCGTGTATAGTAAGTACAGTGATGAAGCGCGTTCATAAAGAAATCTTCACATTGTAAATAGTAACATTATCATTAGTCAGGCTTTGTTCAGAATACGTGATTAGAAAGAATCATGTTCTTATCAAAATGTTACAATATAATATTATTCTTTAATGTAGCCACAGTTCATGTTAGATATACGAAATAATAATAATAATAATAGATGTTTCTAATGTTTATTCAAAGAAATAGATATGTTTCGTTAAATCTTACTGCTGACGTTGCGTAATCTGGACACTGTCTTAGTCGAGTAGTGATTGTATCAAATTTAGCCTTAGCCGACATCATACGACATGTCTGTCCGGAAGTTCTTCTATTTCTCTCTAATGCTCTTATTAGAACAGGACGAACGATCGGGATTTAGTACAAATTGCATGCGCGAATGTTCTTCCGGCGCGTATTGATTACTTTCCGAGAGACATTTTGTATAGTGTGGGCTTGAGCTAAAATGTTTCGATTAAGTAGTGATCACACTGAAAGGTCGTAGCGATGCTACTGCGGCGACGCGATACGATCGATAGTCTAGGCGGCACCCTCTGTGCCAGTACTACCATGCGACTTCGTATTAGCCTTTCCGTCTGGTTACAATATAAAGAGCTTAGTAATAAAATAGGTAAGACGAACTTGTAAAAAATGTACAATAAGGTTGTCTATACTGATTTAAATGACCTGGAATTATGAATTAATCTAATTTATTTATAAAAGAATATTTTTTTACTACCAATATTGTGATGGTTTTTAGTTATATTTTGATTGATAAACGCGAAAAAAATACAAGAGTCAAAGACAAAACTGAACTAACCGGTAGAATCATTCGCTGTTAGTATTCTTTCTATTTATTTGACATAAGTTCCTAAATCAAATATGTAAAAAAAAAACAAATTGTATGGGTTTGTATAAATGTGGCTTAAGACGCGTCGCCACTCACGAGCCGCGTGTTCGAACCCTAGCAATGTACTGAGTGCGAGAAAAAGATAACTTCGTCAATTTATTTAATTAACAAGTATTTTATGAGTGTTCTGAAAGGTAATAATAATTTTATACTTTTATATTTTTTTGAAACACTTATTGTAAATAATTTATCGAGTTGACATTTATATTATTTAATTTTGAATGATAGTTATAATATGACATGTAGTATTTGTGAAACAAAGAAATAAAAAAAACATTCGTGCATGCATTTATCTTATTTTTAATTCTTGAATGGTGCTTCAGAGAGTATTAGTGCCGGCTCTACAGTCAGTTGTATCACAAGATTGTAAATATTGATCGTGTAAGAAACTTTATTCGTAAATTGATCTTAAGTTCTAAGAGTAATAATTGATCATTGAAAGTGATCCAGTTAACTAATTTCTTTAGCAATTGTTACCATAATCAAAAGTACACAGTAATAAATTTTATGTAGAAGAAAAACAATTATTTTTTATTGAACAACCTCTATTTTGATTTATACTGTTTCCCATTGCCCCCTTGACTCTGCACAGTATATGCAGATCTTATTGACCGTAGCAGTATTTTAAGGCACCATTCCTCAAAAAAATCACCACTTATAGTCGTAATTTTCATAGTCCATTCACTAACCTTCTCGGGGATTTCAATAGCATCCTGTGTGTTGTAAATAAGTTTTAAATGCATGCATAAATATCCAATGTAGGCGTTAAGTTATTATGTCATGTAGCGCTGAGACACTAGGGGTGTTCGTCAACTTCACGAAGTAAGTATTATTGAAACTGTAACATCGAACCTAATAGCATTCGCGTGAAGTCGGCGATCAACTTTATTGCATCGAATTTATGATAACATTTGAAAAGCAGATACGAATAAAAAAAATCAATTTAAAACAATTGTTCTTTATAGATGATCCATTAGTGTTTGTGACCTTGAAAAAACAAACTGTAATTTTTGTTAATAGCATCACAGAGTATTGCACTTATATGGTATAGATTGCATAAATTAAGATTTTATAGAAGTATTGTTGTAGCGTTGCTATGAATTTATTAGCATGCGTTGGGTTTTCGGATGGTTTTGCTAAAAGCTTGTCTAAAAAAAATTGTTATGTAATATACTCGAGAGTTCTAAATACGTCGAGATTCGAAGTTATGCGTGTGTTAATAATTACATAACTCGAAAACTAAACAGTTTGCACATTTAAGACAATAGTATTTTTTCGTAATTTTTTTTAAATCAAATAATTAGCCGTTTTTTCTATTAGCATTGAAATGTTGCAATTAAGAAATATTCCGGCAACTATTGTCTACTTAACGTCAACAACAATTTCACTCGAGTCGACCATTACCTATTGACTGTGATTTGTTTTAATTTAAAATTTGAATAATAATAATGTATACTTATTAGAATTTAAAAGAGAGAAAAAAAACTAAAGCCTGACCAGAAAAATAAAAAAAGTAAAAGTTGTTTTCATAATCTTTAAATAATTTTTATATCGTATTAGAATTATTGACGATTGTTCGCAAAAGGATTATCTTAAAGTTCTTAATCATTATTAATTTGTTTACTGTGTTACGATCGATACGAAGCGCGTTGACATCAATTGACGGGTGGTGTCAAGTGTGGCTGGCTATTGTGCACTAAAAGTAGTATCATTTCCTTACATTTATTGATTTTTTTTTTCTGGTCCGTGTAAAACAATATTCCGACTTGCAGGGAATGTCTTTTTTATTGTACATAGTAATATGCGAATTCGTTCTGTTAAAATAATTTACAAATAAATAAATAAATAAATGTGTATTATGAATTTTATTAAAATAATTTTGCAAATAAATTATAATACAAACGAGTGTTTATAAAAATTTAAAGTTTTTTTTCGGTAGAGTCGTGTTATTTATATTTAGATTTTCGTGCTCTAAGCGCATGATTTTATATGAGTATTTTAATTCACCGAGTGTTAAATATTATAGAAAATGGTGTTGTACGGACATGTAAATATTTAAAGTATTAGTGCGTAAGCGAAGTTAATATGTGTGTGCACTGTTAATATAAATGTTTATGTATGTGTTAAACTTGCGTATATGAGAGCAAAGTAGTACTGTGTGTGTTAGTGCGGGTGTGACAGGACGAAAAACACGGCCCTAAAAGTATGAGACATTTTGGTTTAGTTAGAGAGCTTACTCTATAGGAGCCGTGTCTTCGCCATTAGTTGTCTAAATGCTTTAACGACGCGGACAGTCTCTCAGTGGC